TCTACAAGCAAGGTTGTGTCATTTGCATAATTCAGGTTGTTGATGAGTCTTCCTCCAACCCCAATGCCACATTCTTCTTTATAAAGTCCAGCATTCCAAATGATCTACATATATATTGAAAAGGTAGGGAGAAAGGACACACCCCTGATACACACCTTTCTTTATTTTAAAGTATGCAGCATTTCCTTACTCTATTCATACAACTATTTACTTGTCTAAGTATAGGTTTCTCATGAGCACAATCTCATATTCTAGGATTCCCACTCTTCTCAATGTTAGTCACAATTTTTTTTATGATCCATATAGTCAAATGCTTTTGCATAGTCAATAAAACAAAAATGGACATTCTTCTGATCTCTGATTTGATACATATCCCTAGTACCAAAGCTGCTTCTAAACTCAGTTTGTTTTTCTGGCAAATATCTGTCAATTTACTGGTTGGAGTTTTTTTATAATGTTCAGCAAGGTTTTGCTTGTGCGTGATAGTGTATGATTATAATAAAGCTTAGTTAGCACTGATTATGTCAATACATTTGAGTTCTGTGAGTCTTCCTAGTGAATCAGCAAGCCTAAAGGTGATCTTGGGAGCTCCCTAAAACCAATAGAATTCATCAGACTTTTATTTATAATTGCCTAAAATTAGTAGCAATCCAAATGCCCATTAACAGATGAGCAAATAAATACATTTTTATAACTTTAAAAAAATGTTATACTTCATAGCAATGAAAATTAACTAGCTTTATACATAACAGTTTGAACTTCCTTCTTCATCACCATTCATTGCCTCTTGATTATATGCTGTTTCATTAAATTATTCTGTGTAAGCCAATTATTCTTGTACCCTAATATTTTATAATTTTATCTCTTATAATTCTGTGTACTCTTTTGATCTTCTCTTGATGCTTCCGGGGTCTTTCAACATTCTGCCCATTGAATTCATAAGTACTGCAACTTATGGCTTGAATTTGTTCTTCAGTTCATCCATTTTGATTTTTCAACTCCAACACTACACATTTCATTACAATACTTTGCTTTGTCTTCCTGAGCTTCCCTTTGGAAGCTATTCAGCTTCTTAACATATTGATTTCTTCCCTTTGCTTTGGCTTCTCAGTGCTCTAGTATAATATTCAGAGTCTCTTCTGACATGCATCTTGGCCTTTTCTTCTTCCTCCATATTTGTAATGACCTTTCTGAATTCTTAATGGACAATGACTAAGGATTATAGAAGAAGAATTGATGCCTTTGAGTTGTGGCGCTGGAGAAGAGTATTGAACATACCATGGACTAGTAAGAACACAAGTGTCCTGGAGAGGGTAAAACCAAACTTCTTTTTGGAGACAAGGACTTTGAAGCTCTGTCTCACATATTTTGAACATGTTTCCAGGAGGGACCAGTCCCTGGAAAGGTACATCATGATTGGAAAGATGGAGGGACAGTGCAAGAGAGGAAGACCCTGGATGAGCTGGATTGACGCAGTGATTGGGGTAAAGGGGATAGATGTGTCAGGGACAATGAAATTGGGTCAGAATAGAGCAGGGTTCAGAGCTGTTGTACATAGAGTCACTATGAGTCACAAGTGACTCAATGACACATAATAACAACAATAACATACATAACAGCATGGATGTATGCCATGGATATAATATTGAGTGAAATAAACCAGATTTTTTAAAGTACATGTTGTATGACTCTATTAAAGTTAAAATTTGATAACACCTACTGTTTATTGAGTTTGAGTGGTAGTTAACTTGGGAACTTGAGGAGATTAATAACTAGGAAGAGGAACAAGTTTGATAATGTTTCATATATTGATTTGAGTTATATATTTCTATGTAGGCATTTATCAAATTTTCCCTTCAAGATTCATGGGTTTTACGTCATAGATGCTATATTACAAAAAAAAAAATCAACCAAGAAGTTAAGAAGAAAAAACCAAGAGACATAAAGCAGTAAATTTATCAATACTAAAATGAAAGATAGTTAAAATGTGTTTTGGGGAAGAAAGCTTTAGAAAAATGTGTATCATTTTGTCCTATGAAAAGAAAAACAAGGGTGGGGGGAACTAACACTTGTTGCTTAGCTGTTTAAACTTTACTGTCAGTGTATAAGATTCTACAAACACACTTTCAGAAATTAACTCACCTATCTATGGTTAACTGATGTTTGACAATGAACCTATGAAATGGGGAAATGACTACCTATTCAACAAATGGTGTTGGCAAAACTGGACTGCTACCTGCAGAAAGCTGAAGTAGGATAAAAATCTCACACCATACACAAAAATCAACTAAGGTGAGTCAGAGACCTAGGTGTAAAGCCCAAAGCCATAAAGGTAATAAGAGAAAAAATGGGGCCAAGCTTAAAAGGACTAACATATAGAGAATGGAAAATAAATCCAGAAATGCACAACGAGGAGAGGATAAGACTAATAAATGGGACCTTCTAAATATTAAATCCCTATGTATTAAAAAAAAAGTTTTTCCAATAGGGTGAAAAGAAAAACCTTATTGATGGGAGGAGGCAATGCCATCTCAGTCACGGTCAGTCAAGGACCTCCTAACAAATGTGTGCTACAGGGTCTCCACAAGGAAAAGATGGATAACATAATTACAAAATTGGCAAAAGACATGGGAAAAATTTCACAGAAAAACGTATTTGAATGACTAATAAACACATGAAGAAATGCTCAAAATAGACAGTCGGTTGCAGACCGCGCTGGGTTGCCACCACCACTGTTGCCATTGTGCCTCGGGTCTCACGGAGGCTGGGCAACACTCCATAAAGGGAGACAAGCCAATTTGGGAACAGATTGGATCCAGCTTCATTCAACATTACTACCAGTTATTTGATAACAACAGAGTCCAACTAGGCACAATTTATATTGACACATCATGCCTTACGTGGGAAGGACAACAATTCCAGGGGAAAGCTGCCTTTGTGGAGAAATTGTCTAGCCTTCCGTTCCAGAAAATCCAGCACAGCATCACTTCGCAGTACCATTGGCTCACGCCAGATAGCTCTATTCTCAGCATGGTTGTGGGCCAGATCTTTCACCAGATGTTCCTGTTAAAGAATATCAATGATGCTTGGGTTTGCACCAATGATATGTTCAGGCTTTCTCTGCACAGCTTCAGCTGATCTTGTCCCAGCCAGACATTAATGCTGTTTCCTCCTCCCTCCTTTTCCCGATACTATTCACACTCCTCTAGATGCTCCAAATATCATACACAAACAAGAAAGGCCAAGGTGGGAGTGGGTGTGGTGCACTGTTGCCAAGGAGGTGTTAACAGTGCGTGATGTTTGGACACTAGACTAGTTGCACCTGACAGGAGAAGTTTCTGTTGTACCGGTGCATGCCTTGGAAAGACTTAAGTAATGCAAAAGGTTGTCTTTTTTTCTTTCTTTTTAATCTACTGACAAGTTGCTCTAGTAACCCAAAGAAGTGAAGGAGAAAGCAACTGCCTCACTGCCCAGATATTGATTTGTTCAGATGTTTCAATGCCTCATTATACAATAAAACCGCTAAAGTTTTCTTAACAGTTTAAAAAAATGCTCAAAATCACTGGTAGTAAGAGAGATGCAAATCTCACCCCAATAGCAGTGGCAAAGTTTAACAAGACAGAAACCAATAAATGTTGGAGAGGTTGTAGAGAGATAGGAACCATCATATGCTGTTTTGTGGGATTGTAAAATAGTACAACCACTCTGGAAAGCAGTTTGGTTTTTCTTCAAAAAGCAGAACATAGAAATTCCATATGGCCAAGTTATTCCACTAGTAGGAATATACCTCAAGGAAATTAGAACTGAGATACAAATGAAAATTTGTACACCAATGTTATAGCAGTGTCATATTCAATTGCAAGAACATGAAAACAGCTCAGATGTCCAACTACAATTGAAGGGATTTTTTTTAAAATGTGGTACATTCACACAATGGAATACTACACAGCACTCAGGAGCAATTATTTTTAAAAATGCTGCATACCTTTGGAGAGAACAGGGAGTATTGTGCTGAGTGAACTAACTCAGTCTCATATAAAAGGGTAACTAGTAATATGGATATGGAAGTCCAAGGGGAAAAGAGTAGGAGCAGAGGAGTGACATGAAGCAGGAGAGGAATCACAGTGTTGCACAATTTGGTGAGTGGAGGGAGGGACTAAAGAAAATCTGTGGGGATCTGAAAAGACAGGGTAATAGTGGACATAATTCAATGGTGATTAATTTTATAAAACATGATATATGGGAATGATTGTATAGTACACAATGTGAATGAAGGAAAGTGTGAAAAACAATGTATACAAATTTTGTATGCAAGCCAATATAAAATAAAATGTTTTTTTAAAAAAAGCTTCCCTTTCAGATAAAAGAAATTTTAAAAATATTTTCATTTAATTGAATATAATATGTTGCACAACTGAAAAGGATAAATTTCTTGATCAGTTCAATATATCATTTTTAAAGAAAACAGCAGCTGATGAGATGATTTTCAACTTTGTTGAGTCTTAGTTCACATTGCTGACTTTTGTATTCAGTAACAGCTTTTGTACTTTTCATAGGCTTTAATGAGCTATGACTATTGAATATGTAATGACATATGAATATTGGTTATTGATTCCTATCTATTAATTTTATATTACTTTTTGTCTCTAATACCTTGATAATATTATTTTTTTTGTTGTTGTAGTGTACCATAGAGTTGGAACCGACCCGTAGCTGACTCTCCAGTGGGTTTTCAGAGGCAGTTAATCTCATGGGAGGAGATTGCCCTCCTTCTCCCACGGAGCAGTTGGTGGCCTCAAACCATGCCTTTGGGATTGCAGTGCAGCTTCTTGCCAATAGGAAAGAAGTGATTGATTGCCTAGTCTTTCTCTTGTAGATTCATCAGTGCTTAGAGAGGCCTACATATGAGATAACCACATAGGGCTTATTCAGTCAACAAGTGTAACCTAATTTGATTCATGCTTTAAAATTACCTTGACTGTTTGTTCATTCCGTCTTAGGATGCAGCAGTAAAATGAAACTCAGTGGACGACCTTACAGAAACATGGGAGTTATTGGAACTTCAAAACTCTATAACATTCGAAAAACGATTTTTAGTTTCACTCCACAGGTAGGTGGAAAAAGCTAAAAAGTTTAGTGAGACATATGGGGATAAAAGAGAAAGAAAGCATATACATATATACTTGAGTTAAGAAGAGAAAGCTCTGGTGACATAGTCCATAGAAAGTTATGCTGCTCATTAACTCTCTGACAGTTCAAATCCACCAGTAATTCTGAGGGAGAAAGAGAGGCATTACTTTCTTATGTGATTTACAACCTTGGAAACCCAGTGGAGGGTCAACAACGAGCCAGTTCTGATGAAACAGCAATGAGTGATTGAGGGAGAGTTGGGAGAAATGTAAAAATATCAGTGAGCCTTATACATATTAAACTATACAGTTGTTAAGCTGAACTGTCTTGCTACACAGAGCTATGTCAAGCGATTGTGACTAAAGAGAGTAGTCTAGGGTATTGTAGAAACAGTGTCTACTGATTTTACAAAGATTGAAAGTTTTAAAAGCTATTCCTTACTCGTAAAGAATAAAAGTAAGATTATTTATTTCTCAGAGACAAAATATATCAATTTTTATATGCCCATCCCCAGCTACTGAATCGTGTATTTTTTTCATCTTTTTTTGGCTAGCAGAGGCTTCTTTTTCATTCATGGAATTCAATTATCATCTTAAGAAGTGTCACTATGTCTTACTACTGGGTCAATTGGTAGCACCACAATAGATGAAGAGATTGATGTTTTTAACAACTTCAGCTTTCTCAGATCCGTAATCTTCGCACCAATATTGGCATAATCTCTTGGCACCAGTATTCAGGATATCAAAAGACTAATTGCTTTGGGAAAAATCTACTATCAGGACCTCTGCAGAGTACTGAAGAGTAATGATATAAGTCTAGAAACAAAGGTACACCTGATCAAGGCCATTACAATTACTTGATATGCATCAGAGACCTGGAATATGACTTAGGATGACAGAAGAAGAATCAATGCCTTTGAGTTGTGGTGCTGCATTACTGAACCATGGACTGCCAAAGAACAAACAGTTCTGTCTTAATTGTTTTTGTTATGTGTCATCAAGTTATTTGCAACTCAGCAATGCTATGTACCCTGTCTTATCTTGAGCCAATATAACTGTTTCTGACATACTTACCTTTATTACCCTAGTTACTGTATCAATCCATCTCCTCTGGGGTCTTCTTCTCCTGAGCTATCCCTCCCCTTTCTAAGCATGATTCCTTCTCAAAGGACTCATCTCTCCTGGCCACATGCCCAAAGTATGTGAGATGGAGCTTCAAAACCGCAAATCTCTGTAAATGTTCATTAAAACTAATAAAATTTAATAATAAT